AAAGTGCTTGGGTTCCAGTACCCTCATAGGAAACCTGGAAGAAGCTCCAGACTCCTTCCTCTATTCAGCCTGGCACAGCCCTGGCCATTGCAGCTGTTTGGGGAATAAACCAGTGGATGGAAGATCGATTTCTGTGTATCTATCCCCCTCTCTCTAGCTTTGCCTTTCAAATAAATAAATCTAAAAAAATTAAAAATAAAAATATTATTTATTCTAAGTTTTTAAGCTTTTGACATTCAAGGTAGTTTATAGATATAATACTAAGAATATAATACTCCATTTCTTCCTCCCTCCCTTTTTCTCTCTCATTTTCTCTCTCCCTCTCTCTCCTTCCCTCCCTCCCTCTCAGTTTTCGAGCTAACGTATTTTTAATTTATATTAGTCAAGGCCTTAATGTTCCACCAAATAAAGAGTTCAACAAATAAAAAGATGCTAGTTTAGCGGGAATAGAGGCAGAGGATATAAATAATAATCAAATTAAAAGATGACCATTTCACTCACAGACAGTAAATTTTAAATCACAGATTTAAAGCTATAATACTATAACATTCTTTTTAAAAGGATTTATTTATTTATTTATTTGAAAGAGTTACAGAGAGAGAGAGAGGGAGAGTCAAAGAGAGAGAGATCTTCCACCTGTTCCCCAGAAAACCACAATGGCCAGGGCTGGGCCAGGCTGAAGCCAGGAGTCAGAAGCTTCTTTCAGGTATACCACATGGGTGCAAGGACTTGGGTCATTTTCCATTGCTTTTTTTTTAAATTCCATCTGCTGGCATTAGCAGGGGTTGGGTTGGAAGTGGAGCAGTCAGGACATGAACCACTGCCTGTATGGGATGCTGGCATTGTGGGCAGCAGCTTTACCAGCTACGCCACAATGCCAGATCCATAGTATATCATTCTTGATCATTACTTTGACAAAAATATAAAGCAAAGTTTGATAAAACTTTATCTGCAGCAATACTAATATACACAGTCATTTCTTTCTTTTTTAGTTTTTGTTTTTTGTGTTTTTTTTTTTCTTTTTTAATTTTAGGACCCACACATAAGAGAGAATGTGCTTTCTATGTCTGACTTATTTCACTGAACATGAAGTCCTCCAGTTGCATCCATTTTGCTGCATTTGGTAGAATGTCATTCTTTTCCATAACTGAATAACATTCCGTTATGTATGTGTACCACATTTTCTTTATCCATTCACCTGATGATGGACACCATGGTTTACTCCATATTTTGGCTATCCTGAACAGTGCTACCAAAAACATGGTACACATATTTTTTGGAACAGTGTGTTCATGTCTTTTGGATATATACACAGTGGTGGGATTGCTGGATGATAATGGTAAATCTATTTCCAGTTTTTAAATAAATTTCCATACTGTTTTCCACAATAATGAAAACAGTATTTTTGTACTATTTAAATTCCCATGACATGTGGACAAGTGTTCCCCTTTCTCTACATCCTTGTTGATATTTGTTACTTTGTCTTTTGGATTGTAGCCACTCTGATAGGGATGAGATGATATCTCATTGTAGTTTTGATTTGTATTTCCCTGATGGCTAGTGATTGTGTTTTGTGTGTATTTTTTAATTACTTAATTTATTTGAAAGTCAGAGTTACAGAGAGAGAAATCCTCCATCCATTAGTTTACTCCCTAAATGGCATCAACAACTAGGGTTGGGTCAGTCCAAAGCCAAGAGCCAGGGACTTCATCTGATCTCTCACATAGGTGGCAGGGTACTAAGCATTTGGGTCACCTTCCACTGCAGGCCATTAACAAGAAACTGGATGTGAAGTAGAGCAGCTGGGACATGGGCTGATTCTCAGGTGGAATGCCTATGCCACAGGTAGCAGCTTTACCCACTACATCACAATCCAAGCTCCTTGATTTGCATTTCTTTGATGGCTAGTGATGTTTAGTATTTTTCAAATGTTTGTTGGTGATTTATATTTCTTCTTTTGGAAACTGTCTGTTGAGGTCCTTTTCAATTTCTTAACTGGATTTGTTATTTTTGTTCTTGAGTTTTTGAGTTGCTGATATGTTCTAGATGTTACTCTTTTGTTGGACAGGTAGCTCACAAATGTTTTTTCCCATTCTGTTGGATCTCTCTTCACTTTATTGATCGTTTCATTTTTTTGTGCAGAAGCTTCTGCATTGGGTATAATCCCATTTCTTAGTTTTGCTTGTGTTGCCTGTGCTTTGGGAGTCTTATCCAAGAAGTCATCACTTACACCAATGTCTTAAAGTATTTCCCTTACATTTTCTTCCAATAACCTGATGTCAGATCCTAAATTTAGGTCTTTGATCCATCTGTTGTTGATTTTTATATATGGTGAGAGGAAGGGATATAATTCAATTCTACATATATACATCCATTTTTTCCAGCACGTTTTGTTAAACAGACTCTCCTTAATCCAGTGTATTGTCTGAGTACTTTTTTATTTCTCTTTTGATTTCTTCTGTTACCCACTGTTCATTTATTTATTTATTTTGACAGGCAGAGTTAGACTGTGAGAGAGAGAGACACCCCCGCAAATGGCCACCGTAGCCGGTGCACTGTGCCAATCTGAAACCAGGAGCCAGGTGCCTCCTCCTGGTCTCCTATGTGGGTGCAGGGCCCAAGCACTTGGGCCATCCTCCACTGCCTTCCCGGGCCACAGCAGAGAGCTGGACTGGAAGAGGAGCAACCGAGACAGAACTGGCACCCCAACCGGGACTAGAACCCGGGGTGCCGGCACCGCAGGCGGAGGATTAGCCTAGTGAGCTGCAGCACCGGCCCCCACTGTTCATTTAACAGCATGTTGTTCAATCTCCATGTGTTTGCATGTTTTCTAGCGATTCTTGAGTTGTTAATTTCATCTTCATTCCATTGTGCTCAGAAAAGATGCATGGTATGGTTTCAATTTTATTTTAATTTGCTGAGACTTGCTTTATGGCCTACCATATTGTCTATCCTAGAGAAAGTTCCATCAGTGATGAAAAGACTGTATGTTCTTCAACTGTGGAATTTAAATGTTCTGTAGATAACAGGTTCATTTGGTCTAGGGTTTAGATTAGCTCTGTTGTTTCTTTGTTGATTTTATGTCTAGTTGATCTGTCCATTGATGAAACTGGGGTGTTGAAGTCCCCCAGTACTATTGTATTGGAGACATAGACATTAACATTTGTTTTAAATAGCCACATGCCCTAGCATTGGGTGCATTTAGTCACATCTTTCTGTTGAATTGGTCCCTTAATTGTTACATTATATAATGCTATTCTTTGTCTCTTTTAGCAGTTTTTTTTTATTTTATTTATTTTTATTTGACAGGTAGAGTTATAGACAGTGAGAGAGAGAGAGACAGAGAGAAAGGTCTTCCTTCCGTTGGTTCACTCCCCAAATGGCCACCATGGCCAGCGCTGCACCAGTCGGAAGCCAGGAGCCAGGTGCTTCCTCCTGGTCTCCCAAGTAGGTGCAGGGCCCAAGCACTGGGCCATCCTCCACTGCCCTCCTGGGCCACAGCAGAGAGCTGGACTGGAAGAGGAGCAACCGGGACTGGAACCTGGCGCCCATATGGGATGCCGGTGCCACAAGGTGGAGGATTAATCATGTGAGCCATGGCGCTGGCCCCTCTTTTAGAAGTTTTTGTGTTAAAATCTATTTTGTCTGATATTAGGAATGTTACACCTTCTTATTTTTGTATTCCATTAGCATAGAATATGTTTTGCCATCCTTCCACTTTCAGTCTGTGTGTATCCTGGTTGGTGAGATATGTTTCTTGTAAGGCAGAAAATGTATGGATCTTGTTTTTTAATTCATTCAGGCAGTTTCCATCTTTTAATTGGAGAATTTAAGCCATTTACTTTCAAGGTTACTAATGATAAATAAAAAGTTGGCCCTGCTCTTTTTCCATAAGTATTCCTATTGTTTGCTTTGGATTTCTTTTGTACTTTTACTGGGAGATTTTCTGTTTTTACATTCCTTCATAGTGATGACTATCTTTCTGTGTTTCTCTGTGTAGCACACACTTAAGCATCATTTGTAAGCCTGGATGGGTGGTAACAAATTCTTTCAATTTCTGTTTGTTATAGAAAGTCTTTCTTTTAACTCATTCATAAATGAGAGGTTTTCTGGGTATAGTATTCTGAGTTTATGGTTTTTTTCTTTTAAGACTTGGACTAATATTAGCACTGGTGCAATGGTTAAACCTCCCATTTGCTGTGCCAGCATCCCATATGGGTGCTGCTTCGAATCCCAGCTGCTCCACTTCCAATCCAGCTCCCTGCTAATGCACCTGAAAAAGCAATGAAAGATAGCCCAAAAATCCTTGGGCCCCTACTACACCCACGTAGGAGACCCAGATGAAGCTTCTGGCTTCTAGCTGAAGCTTGACCCATCCCTTGCACTGTGGCCATTTGTGGAGTAAACCAGCAGATGGAAGATCTCTCTCTGTCTCTGTAATTCTTTCAAACAAAATAAGTAAATCTTAAAAAAAAGAAGACTTGGTCTATGTGTTTCCTAGCCTGTAAGGTTTACAATGAGAAATCAATTGTAAGTCCAATTGGAGATCCTGTGAGAGCAATCTGGCAGTTTTCTCAATCACATTTTAGAATCTTTTGTGTTTTACTTTTGAAAGGTTGACTAAAATGTGTCATGGTGAAGATCTTTTCTGGAAGTGGAGCAACCAGGACTTAAACTGGTGCCCCAGTGGCCCTGTTATACCACAGTGCTGGCCCCCCTCTCGATGGATTTTATCTTTTAACTAGGCCTCTTTGCTTAGTGGAGCATCTGCTCTATCAGTGACTACCCAGAGGGATTGTGGTGGGTTTGGCCAGAGAGTTCTGGTCAGTGCTCCAGGGTGGGGTTAGTATCTAGGATGACACCCAAGTTGGGCACAGTAGATCTCTGCTATCAACAGAGGAAAGAGTATGATCTCCTCTGTTGGCATAATCACACCCTTACCTCCTGTCTTCCAAAGTGATCATTTCCCAGAGTTAGCCCACAATGAGTGCAACACTTACCCATGCTGCTGCATGAACCACACAAAGGATCTGTGCAGGCCTCAATAAGAACATGGAACCCACAGCAATGATCCACCCCAAGCAGTCAGGGAGTTCTGAGCCTCTGACACCAGACACAGTGACATCCCATGCTTTATTGTGGAGTCATAGGATTCCCACAGTCACAGTGAGCATGGCTCCCACAGTCACAGGATACAGACGATCTGCTCCATCCTGTTAGCTTGTCCTGTCTGTGGAGAAAGCAGAGACATTCCCAGAGCCCACTGCTTGTGGGTGCTTTACCTTGGCAGTTGAGCCCTGGAGCCTGTGATATGTTGAGAGGATGGGAGCATCTCAAAGTCCTACATAAGTGCCCAGCCCCTGTCAACCCTGCCAGCCAAACTCAGAGTCAGCAGGGAATAGATTTTTTTCCTCTGGTAAAATCCCTGATCACACGCACGCATAAGAGGCAGCTGCTACTGGTATCAAAATGGTACCTCTGCCCCTCAAGTTTTCTGGCGCCATTGTGGGGGAATGGGGAGAAAGAAACATGCGTCTTTCTGCTGGATTAGGATAGTACCTTGCCCCCCATTAGGGCTCCAGACTCAAAGACAGAGTGGTCCACACAACTCTCCCTCAGGCAGTATCGCCAGCGGCCCAGGCTGCTGCAGTCTGTTCTCACCTCACTCTCCGAACCTGGGGTGCCCTCCAGTTCCCAACTGCAGGGCTTGCGTGTGGTTGCCCCGCTTGTTGCTGTGAGTCACCTTCCACTCTGATCCATGGCATCCCTCTTCCTTCTGCAGAATTTCCACTGCAAACTTCTCTTTAACTCTACCCTGGGAATGTTCTTCCTCCACTTTTATTCTGCTATTTTCCCATCATCTAAGACAGTATTTAGCCATCTGGGTATCCTCTCAAATTCTCAACATTTTTTAAAAAGAGGATATTGGGTAGCTGGCACTTAACCTAGTGGTTAAATGCCAGTATCCCATATCAGTGTGCCTGGGTATGAGTTCTTGCTCCTTGGATTTGATTCTGAAGTCAGGAGCCAGAGCCAGGAATCAAACCTGGAAGACCTGGATTACAAGTGCAACCCGAGAGGTGGCAGTGATGGCTCAAATAACTGGATTCCTGCCACCCACATGGAAGACCTGGATTCCAGTTCCTGGCTCTAGCCCAGCCCAGCCTCAACTGTTAGATGCATTTGGGCAGTGAACCAGTAGACAGGAGCTTTCTGTCTGTCTCCATCTCAAATAAATAAATAATTTAAAATACTTTTAACATAATGTGAATTTTCCATAAATTCTTTTAAACTCTTTTGTTCTTGTATTTATGAGGTATAGTGTGGTCATTTGATACATTTGATACAATGTGTAATGAAGTAACCAGGGTAATTAGCATTTCTATTTCCTTAAATTTTTTCCTTTCTTTGTGTTGGGAGCCTTCAAACTCCTCTCTTCTAGCTATCCATAAAATTTATAATGGAATTGGAATTTTTTAAAAGATTTATTTGCTTATTTTGAAAGTCAGAGTTACAGAGGGAGGTGGGGAGGGAAGGATAGAGGAAGGGAAGGAGGGAAGGAGGGAGGGAGGGAGAGAGAGAGAGAGAGAATGAATCTACCATCTCCTGGTTCATTCCCCGGATGGCCACAATAGCTAGTGCTGGGCCAGGGTGAAGCCAGGAGTCAACAACTTCATCCAGGTCATCCACTTGGGTTGCTAGGGGCCCAAAACTTGGACCATCTTCCACTATTTTCCCCAGGCCATTACCAGGGTGCTGGATTGAAGGTGGACTAGCCAGGACATGAACCAGCACCCATATTAGATGCCGGAGTTGTAGGTTGTGGCTTTACCTACTCTGCCATAATGTGGATCCTAGATGGGCATTTGGCATAGTGATTAAGATGGCAATTGAGATGCCCAGGTCCCATATTTTGCCTAGGCCAACCCCAGCAATGGCAAGCATTCAGGGAGTAAACAAATGGATGGAAGATCTAGTTCTGTCTCTATTTCTGTCTCTCTGTTACTCTGTGTCTTTAATAATTAATAAATAAAGCTTAAAGGAAATAATTAAATGTGCAGGTCAGTGCTTTAAAATATGTGTTTGTGTATGCTAAATTGTTGTAAACTCAGTTAAGCGGATATACTATAGAATATTAGAACACATCCCTCCTTTCTATCTGTATTTTAGTATCTATTATCCAGCCTGCATCTATCCTTCCTTTCCCTTCCATTTGTTGCCTTTACTGACCACTATTCTACTTCTACTTCTATGAAATGAACTTTCAAAGTTTCCAGATGTGAGTGAGACTGTATAGAATGTCTTTCTGTGTCTAACTTAATGCACTTAACATAGTGTCCTCTAGTTCCATCCTTGTTGCTGCAACTGACAAGATTTAATTGTTTTTATGGCTGAATAATATTCCATTGTGTGTCTATACACACACACACACACACACACACACATATATATGATATTTTCTTTATCCATCCATTTTACAGTGGACATTAGGTTTATTATACATCAAGGCTATTGTGAATACTGCTGCAGTATACATAGGATAGGAGTACAGCTACCTTTTTTTTTTTTTTTTTTTTTGATAGGCAGAGTGGATAGTGAGAGAGACAGAGAGAAAGGCCTGCCTTTTGCCGTTGGTTCACCCTCCATGGCCGCCACGGCTGGCGCGCTTCGGCCGGCGCACCGTGCTGATCCGAAGGCAGGAGCCAGGTGCTTCTCCTGGTCTCCCATGGGGTGCAGGGCCCAAGGACTTGGGCCATCCTCCACTGCACTCCCTGGCCACAGCAGAGAGCTGGCCTGGAAGAGGAGCAACCGGGACAGAATCCGGCGCCCTGAATGGGACTAGAACCTGGTGTGCCGGCGCCACAAGGCGTAGGGTTAGCCTAGTGAGCCGTGGCACCGGCCGAGAAGCAGCCGGCCGGCACACCACGCTGATCCGATGGCAGGAGCCAGGTGCTTATCCTGGTCTCCCATGGGATGCAGGGCTCAAGTGTCCCACATGGATGGCAGGGCCCAAAAGACTTGAGCCATCTTCCACTGATTTTCTCAGGCCATTAGCAGGGAGCTGGGTCAGAAATGGAGACCCCAGGACTTGAACCGTTGCCCATATGGGATGCCAACATCACAGATGTGGCTTTATCTGTTATACCACAACATCAGCCCCAAGTTTCATGACCATCTTAATTGGCATCTGCCTGCTAGGCCAAAAGCTTGCCTCCATCTAACGAGTTTGGTTTTTTAAAATTCTTGGTCCCTGCTTTTTAAATTTTTTTTAGAGAGAATAGTAGTTATTTTTTTTTAAGATGTATTTGTTTAGGGGCCAGTGCTGTGGTGTAGTGGGTAAAGCCACTGCCTGCAGTGCCAGCATCCAGTATGGGCACTAGTTCAAGTTCTGGCTACTCCACTTCCCATCCAGCTCTCTGCTATACCTGGGAAAGCAGGGGAGGATGGTCCAAGTCCTTGGGCAGACCTGTGGGAGACCTGGAAGAAGCTCCTGGCTCCTGGCTCCTGGCTTCGGATTGGCCCAGCTCTGGCCATTGTGGCCATTTGAGTAGTGAACCAGCAGTTGGAAGACTCTCTCTCTCTCTCTCTCTCTCTCTCTCTCTTTCTCTCTCTCTCTCTTTTTTCTCTGCCTCTGCCTCTCTGTATCTCTGCCTTTCAAATAAATAAATCTTAAAAAAAGATTTACTTATTTATAAGGCAGAATTACAGAGAAAGAGAGAGAGAGAGAGAATCTTCCATCTGCTGGTTCACTCCCCAAATGACGGCAATGGCTGGGGCTGGGCCAGGCCAAAGCCTGGAGCCAGGAGCTTCTTCCAGGTCTCTCATATGGGTGCAGGGGCCCAAGCATTTGGGCCACCCTCCACTGCTTTCCCAGGCACATTAGCAGGAGCTGATCAGAAGTGATCAGCTAGGACTTGAACCGGTGCCTATATGGAATGCCAGGGCTACAGACAGTGGCTTAACCACCTGCACCACAGTACCAGCCCCTTATGAATCTTAAAAACAAGACCTGACACTATCAAAATTGTTTCCAATTAAGTATATCCCAGTAAAAGAAGAGCAAGTATATTTATAATAATTAAAAAGTGCCTGGCATCTCACAAGGTATTTTTCGCTATATCTGACACCCCATAAAAAATTTGCAGGCATTCAAGGGTAGACATTTGGCCTAGCAGTTAAGCTGCAGGTTAGGATGCCCACATCCCACATTGGAGTATCTGGGTTCAATACCTGGCTCTGGCATCTGATTCCATCTTCCTGCTAATGTGGATCCTAAGAGGCAGCAGTGATGGTTAAGTAATTAAGTTCCTGCCACCTATGTGGGTAACCAAAATGAGCTCATAACTCCTGGCTTTGACCTCCTTTCCCTTGTGGACATTTGAGGAGTCAATTGAATGGGAGCTCTCCCTCTGAGTGTGTGTGTGTGTTCATGTCTATCTTCCAAATAAAAACATAATGCGTAAATACATTGGTTAATTACAATTGACTCAGAATTAGTTCATGTGGTAGAATTAGCAGATAAGGATATCAGAAGTTTTTTTTTTAATTTTTTAATTTTTTTAATTTATTTTTTTTTGTTGACAGACAGACAGTGAGAGAGAGAGAGAGATACAGAGAGAAAGGTCTTCCTTTCCATTGGTTCATCCCCTAAATGGCTGCTACGGCCGGCGCACTGCGGCCGGCACGCTGCACCGATCCAAAGCCAGGAGCCAGGTGCTTCCTCCTGGTCTCCCATGCAGGTTCAGGGCCCAAGCACTTGGGACATCCTCCACTGCCTTCTGGGGCCACAGCAGAGAGCTGGACTGGAAGAGGAGCAACCGGGACAGAATCCAGCACCCTAACCCGGACTAGAACCTGGGGTGCTGGCACCGCAGGCGGAGGATTAGCCTAGTGAGCTGCGGCGCTGGCCATAAGTTATTATAACTGTATTCCATATATAAAACACAGCTAAAGGAAAGATTAAATATAATAAATAGAAAAATGTAAGACAGTGAAAAGACCCCAGACTTCTGATGCTGATAACTACAATGTCTGAGATGAAAAAAAAAAACAAGAGATAGGATTAACAGCAGATTATATGTTGTAGAAAAAAAGATTAGTGAATCTGAAGACGTAACAATAGAAGCCATTCAAAAGATAGCACAAAGAGGAAAATGAATTATTAAAATATGAATAGAACTTCATTATACTGTGGGACAACTTCATAAATAACAGATGTGCATCAATTGTATTCAGTTACAAATCTGGCCTAATATGAGTATATTTGTAATTAGATTTCTCTAAGGAGGAGATGATAGAAAAAATTGCCTTAAAAAATTGCTGAGTTTTTCTACATCTGATGAAAGCTTTAAGCTCAGTGAAATTCAAAACCAAAGAGCATGAAGAAAATGATATCAATGTGGATTATCATCAAATTGCTCAAAACTAGTAATGGGGAAAAAATATTGAAAGCATTTTGAGAAAAACAGACTTATGACATATACAGCAACAAACACAGATCTCAGCAGATTTATCATCAGAAGCAATGAAAATGAGTAGGCAGTAGACCAATATCTTTAAATACTTAAAGAAAACAACTTATTTACCTAGAAGTCTACACTGAATGAAAATCTTTCAAAGATGAAAGTGAAGCCTTTTATAGACATGCAAATAGATGAACTACAACTGATTCTTGACAAAAGTGCAATCAGGTCAGTATAGAAAGGATTGCTGAAACTGGAAAAATTGGATATTGATAACTTCCCTGATGTTTAAAAATTATCTCAAAATTTACCATCAACCTAAATGTAGAAGGTCAAACTGTGAAATTTCTAGAAGAATATATATATGAGGGAGAAGGGAGAACATACTTGTCTTTTTCTACAAAAGTTTCCTATATAAATCATCATAATCTAGATTTATAGGAATTGATTTCAGATTCATCAAAATTAAAAATGAACTCTGTTCTTCAAAATATAAAGGAAGAAAAGATCAAATATAAGCTGGGAGGAAATACTATAAATCATATACATAGTAAAGGCCTTGAAACTAAAATATATAGAGAACTCTCAAAGTTCAGTGATGAGAAAACATACAACCCAATTTAAAAATAGGAAAAGATCTGAACAGATGTTTAAGGAAAAAAGAAGGAAAAAAGATAGCAAATAAACATGCAAAAAGTATTCAACATCATTAGCCATTGGAGACTGCAAATTAATACTATGGATAATATTATACATCTATTAGAATGGCTAAAATTTAAGAAAGTAGACCATCCCATAATTTGGCTAGAATGCCAAAGATATGGAGTGCTCATTCAGTTCTGGTGGAAATGTAAAATGGCATAGCTATTTTGGAAAATTGTTTGACATCTTCTTATAAAATTACATGTGTACCTATCTTATGATCCAGACATTCAACTCCTTGGTTTGTACCCAGTGAACTAGTGACATCCATCTTTATAAAATTTGGAAACGAATATTCATAGTAGCATTACTGGTAATAAGTAAAAAGTAGATATAATCCACATGTAAAAAACTAAAGAATAAATAAATCTGGTGTTTCTACAATGGAATACAATTTAACAATAGAAGATAATGAACCACTGAAACATGCAGCAAAAAGGGAGGATTTGAAAATAATCATACTGAATGGAAAAAAACAGATTTAAAAATACAATACTATATGGTTACACTTTAAAAAAAAAAAGATGTTATTTATTTGAAAGGCACAGTTATAGAGAGGCAGACAGAAAGAGAGAGAGAGAGAGAGAGAGAGAGAGAGAGGTCTTCCATCCACTGGTTCACTCCCAAACTGGCCACAATGGCCAGAGCTGCACCAATCCAAAGCCAGAAGCCAGGAGCTTCTTCTGGGTCTCCCACATGGGTGCTGGGGCCCAAGGACTTGGCCATCTTCTACTGCTTTCCCAGGCCATAGCAGAGAGCTGGAGCTGGATGGGAAGTGGAGCAGCCGGGACTTGAACCGGCACCCATATGGGTTGCCGGCACTGCAGGCAGTGATTTTACCTGCTGCGCCACAGCGTTGGCCCCACTATATGGTTATACTTTAAAAAAATTCTAGAAAATATAAATGAATTTGTGATTGAAAGCAAATAAGCAGTATCCCGGAAATTAGGTAACATAGAAGCCTGAAGGAGGTACTCTAAAGGATAGAAGAAAACTTTTGTGGATAATGGATATGGTTATAATCTTGATTCTGTTAATAGTTTCAAAAATGATCTAATTATATACTTTAAATCTGTGATTTATTATATATAAATTATAAGAAATCTTCATTTTACATTGTTCCAATATGCACAAATTTCAGTCTGCATGGTTCATTTAAATCATACCTACCCCCTAAAATACAGTTTAAATTACCACAGAATATTCATGGTGAGTAACTGTATAAAGAAGAAATTTTGCTAGCTCTTAAGTCCACAAATGATTAGAAACAACAGATACATAGAATGATTGGTGACCAGTCACATTACTGTTTTCAATCTGGTGGTGATTTTCACTACACATCTGTTTAGTTCGTGCATAGACAGCAAAGCATATAGTTGGATTGCTTCCTTGTCTCTCAGTGATCAA